TTCACTTTGATTTTATATCTATATAAAAAGTCATATGGTTATATTTTTAAAAATTATTCATTTGTTTGTTTGTTTGTCTTTTCAAAACAGGGTTTCTTTGTGTAGCTCTGGCTGTTCTGCAACTCCCTTAGACCAGATTGGCCTTGAACTCACTGCCTCCTGAGTGCTGGGATTATAGGCATGTACCACCAGGCCCAGCTTAAATGTATACTTTAACCAAACATATAATTAGAAAGAAACTTCTGTCTTATTTACTAACTGCTCACATTCATAAGTAAAAAAAAAAAAAATCAACAACTCTATTGCTCTTCACATTCTCTTGTCTTACATTTTTATGCTTAACTCTTCACTCTTCAGGAACCTTCTCTTAAATAACACTTCGCTCTTTCCAAACCTTGCCGATGGGAACTCCTTCACTTTGGTCCCATTGCCCTTTCAGTACTCACCCTAATGCACATTCAGAGAATCCTCATTTTCTGGGGTTGAGTAATAGTCCGATGGGTAAGGAGTTTGCCTCACACAGCATGAGCACCTGAGTTTGATTCCCAGAACCTACTAAAAGTAGTATGTATCTGCAATCCAATGGCTCTTCCTGTGAGATGGGGGGTGGAAAAAGGAGAAGTCCCAGAAGCCCACAGGCCAGCGAGGCTGGACACAGAGCACCAAACAACAAGATATTCTTCTCAAACAAGGTGGAAGGTGAGGAGGATACCTGAGGTGGTTGTTTTCTGACCTCCACATACATGTTGTGTGGGCGTGGTGGCACACATACTTTTTTGTTATTAAGGTAAGGGGTTCTCATTTTAGGAGGTCCTAAATTTATTAAACTAATAGCAGTAGAAGTCAGAGGCCTATAAGCCTAACCTATTTTTAAAAAAATTTTTTCCTGTCTCGAATCTTGAAAATTGCTGTTATCTAAGGCATAAGGCTCCTTCTAGTGGAGAAAAGCTTCACAGCATGGATCCGGGCGTGAGTTTGCTGCAGGGCCACTTGAGAAATCATGGAGCTGGAGAATGTCTCTTAAAAGGCTTGAATTCATGCTGTTTTCCCCAAGCATATTAAATTGCTGCGCCCTACCTTTCATATCATCTGGGGTTTCATTCACCTCTAAGACTTTTTGTTTATTGTTCAGACAAAAGATATTACACCTAGTAAACAGAGGAGGAGGGGGAGTGATCCAGATTCAAAGAGAAAGCTTGTTTGGGGAGGAATCGAAACACAATTCGGGTTTGAATTCTAATTTGTTTTCTTGCTCTAACCCTGTGTGTGTGTTTGTATAAGCAGAAAGAGGAAGGTCAGAAAACAGATGGGTTCGGGGAAAAATCACTTCAGACACAGCATAGGAACAAGGTATGCACCATAAGCAAGCAAAACCAAGTTCCATCTCAAATAATCTTCAGTCTTCTGGGTTTGCACTAGAGTTTTGGTTTGATGTGAGATGTAAAACATTAATTTTTAACTGTCATTTGTCAGTGTCAGAGACTTCCATGGTCCTCAAAGACACTGGGCTCATCACTCCAGTCCCCAGGGCTTTTTTTAAAGCAAGAAATAGTTTTTCCCACTGTGGGCTTTTCCCACGATGGAAATCAGATATCCAAAGTTCTCTTTTTCCTTTCCTTAGCTGAAGTTTTTGTAGACACAAAATTACATCCTGCCCTCCCCAGGGAACAAAACAATGACTAATGCCAGATCTTTGGATCTGCATGTTCTGATTAGCATTAACACAGGCACCTGTGAGTTAGAGGGCTCAGGCATTCTCCCAGTGGCCCTGTAAGACAGCCAGAGGGCACTCAAGAGGGCGTCCCCTCGTGGGCGGTTACTGGCCTGAGCACCGAACTCACACAATCTCTAAAATATCTAGATTGTTTCTCAACCAGACACAAATACTCAAGATATCAACACACACACACACACACACACACACACACACACACACACACACACAGAGAGACAGAGACAGAGACAGAGACAGAGACAGAGAGGGGATAGTTATTATGTTATAATCATTATGTTATAATCAGACAATGTTACAGATTATCAATAAAAATATTACTTAATACCTTGTGTACTTTAAGAGAATGAGATAGGTACACCACAGACACCCCCCCCCACACACACACACACACACCTCCTAACAAAGCACTTAGCAACCTGGAAGCTGCACCTGGGAGCTGCACTTACTTGGAGCCCCATGCACATCCCTCTCTAAACAAAGCAATCTGGTCATTCCAGCCCAGAGCTCCCTAGCAACCCCTTAGTAACCCTTCATTTGTAGCTAGCAACCTGGAAGCTGCACCTGGGAGCTGCACTTACTTGGAGCCCCATGCACATCCCTCTCTAAACAAAGCAATCTGGTCATTCCAATCCAGAGCTCCCTAGCAACCCCTTAGTAACCCTTCATTTATAGCCAAATGCATTCTGGAACATATCTAGGAACTAGGGGCAGTGTGTTAATCCAGCTTGGACTGGTTTGAGGTACATACACAGTAAGGCAAAATGTGTCCTCTGAGTGAGTGTCAAGAGAAATTCATCTATTTACCATCTTATGCCTATGCATTTTGGGTATGCATAAGGTTAAAATCAGATGCATCATGGCAAAGGATATGCCCAGTGAACAAAGGATTATATACCCAAGCCTATCAATCAAACAGAAAACTGCCCATGCTCCACTCCCAACTCCTCGGGATTCACAAAGGGAAACCCCTAGCAACAAACAGGTGTTCTTTTTTTTTTTTTTTTTTTGTTTTGTTTTTTTTGTTTTTCGAGACAGGGTTTCTCTGTGTAGCTTTGCGCCTTTCCTGGAACTCACTTGGTATTCCAGGCTGGCCTCGAACTCACAGAGATCCTCCTGGCTCTGCCTCCCAAGTGCTGGGATTAAAGGCGTGCGCCACCACCGCCCAGCCAAACAGGTGTTCTTGAACACTCTAGCTCAGGTAGCTGAAGGCTTTATAGCCCATGTGCTCTGAACTTCTGCTTTGTCTTGAATAAAATCCCTCGCTGCTCTATTTATGTGTGCGTCTCCAATTCTTTGCACACACACAAAGCACCTAGGAACACTCAGTCCAGGCAGACACCACTGGCCACAGGAATACTCAAGTGCCCGTTACTAAGGACTTTCTATTTCAGCGTTGATAATAACTTCCTGTGCACCTGTCTAAAGCGTAACAATCAATGTCAAGTGAGTACAGAGCGGTGATGTGCTCTGGTCAGTTAATACTATCTCTGAAGAGAGAGCAGTTGTTTCTTCAAAAACTACAGGTGGGCTAGCTTTGGGAACATATTTAAATCTCCATCTCTTTTGAGGCACCTTACCGGACAAAATTTAGAGAAAGAATGTGTTCCTTCAAAACACTGAGTGGACTGTGAAGAGTGAGAATGTTGACAGTCTAGATCCAAAGTATCTTAGATTACTTTTAGTTTCCTTGGTGGCCATTCATTGCCCAACCCAGTGTCTGACCTGACATCCTTTTGACTCTCAGGTAAAATCTTAGAAATATATTCTCTGCAAACCAAACCAATAGCTTCCACCAATCCAAAAGTTTAAAATGTCATCAAACAGCATCTAAAACTTCTAGCTGGATTTTCTACACTTTGCTTTAACCTGCCTAGCACTCCCCAACAATGCATTAATCAAATGCCTTGAGTTATGACTTATTTTGTTCTGTGAACAAAAAAAGTCATACAACCACGTCTGTAGTGGATTATGTTATACAGAGTAGCCTAAATTCATTTTCTTGGGTCATGATCAGTTATGTTTGGCTCAGAATAAACTATCTTGTTTTCTTTTAAAAGTGATAACTATATTTTGCATCCACAGTCACATTCCAGTGCTAGAAAAACTCTAGCAGTGAGAAAATTTTATAATTTATTGAAGTTCATATGCTTATTCCATTTACTGCAAACCTGTACCAGATCCTGAGGTAGGACCGCACACAGAGTCCCCTTGACCATGCCAAGACTGCTGTTTACTCTGGTGTTTACTGTGGATCAGCAAACAGTTCTGACTCACACTGGTTGCAAAGATGTCTAAAGAGGGAATGGTCATTCTGCCTGCCTGAACACAACAGAATGCAGTTAGCTGGCAAGCTAAAAGTATGGTCAAGCACTCAAAATAGATTTCACACATTCCAGGTCCTAAAAGTCATAGATAGAATGCTCCATCAGACTCTGGGAGCCCACCTGTTCCAACTTTGTGTACAGTTTTAGCAGTTGTGGTATGTGAGATACTAGTTTCTTGCCAAAGAGAAATTAGTTCTGGAAGGAGAGTGGGGGAGGGAGCATGGTGAAACCTGGAAGTCATGGTTTACCCAACTAGGTTTCCAAAGTATAGTTGACTACCAGTCGACAACTGATAAAGGCCAAAAATGGTGCTGTAGCTATAAAGCTAGAGGTCACCCTCAAGCATTTGATAAGGTGATGCTGAACAGTGGAGAAATTCGCCCCAAAGTTGCTGCAGTTTTATTACCATGTAGATCATTTGCTAGAAGCTGAACACAACTCATGGTTTACAGGGACTGGTGGTGATGGTTTAGTTGTCTGGAATGTGGAGGGCAAGAGCCAGAGACCAGAAAGTTGATTAATGAAATGGCAGAAGAATGTACTTTCGTCATTTACTGTTTTAAGCTAATTGGCTAGCAGAAGGACAGATGACCGCAAGCTGGATTTACAGCTCCCTGCAACCATGGCTTGAGAAGCAAACTGAGAGGCTTAATCTTGTTCTCTTAGAATGTGGGGGGAAGAGTTGGTACGGCAGACAACTCTCGTTGCCAGTCGCAAAAGACGCCAGGGCATGGAGTGGCAGAAGCTGTCTTCGGGTGGTTGATTCTCAACCCTTTAAAATCAGGATTCCTCTAGGCAGAGAAGAGGAGGTGGAAAGGCGAGGTGAAAGAAAGTGAGAAGAATGAAGTCTGTGTGGTTGCCAAGTTGACTGGATCTAAAATCTCCATGGAAACAGACCACTAGGTATGGTTTTAGGAAGGCTTTGAAGAGGGAAGACCCACCCTAAACATAGGTGACATTATCCCATGGCTTGGGTCATAGACTGAAGACAAAAAAGAAATCAGACTGAGTACCAGTATTCATCCCCTCAGTTTCTTGACAGCTGGGAAGTTTTCACAGCTGAGTCACACTTTTGTCGCATGTCCTGCCTCCATGACGAACTGTGGTCTCAAACTGAGACCTGAAAGAAAGCCTGCTTTAGGTCGCCTTTGGCAAGTGTTTTGTGAGAGCAGTGAGAAAAGAATACAGGCTGCTGGAGGGGTGCTCTGGGAACCAGCAGTCACTCTAACAGATACCTCCTATGGACAGAAGCTCTAAGTCCAACACACTTGCTGAGTCCCTCCATTGCGTGGGTCAAGTCAGAGCTCAGCCACAGCAGAGTTATGAGAACCATCTGCACATTCTTGCCTGCCTTGTTGGCCAGGAAAGTGGAGACACTGGCCTGGGGAGATGGCTAACAACACACGCCGTCATGCCTTTCCATCTGAGAGGGGCTGCTGGCCGGAGCCACAGAACTTTAGTAGATGTATTACCACAGTTTATAGAAAGGAAAGAGCGGCCCCACCTTTGTGTGCTGCTTTTGTGTCCAGAGAAGCCACTCTGTGCCTGTGGGGACCATGGCAGCTCAGCTCTCCTTATTGGCATCTCCCAGCGTGTCTTGTCTGATTTATAGTTTGTCGTGGCTGATCAGGGACACGTTTGCTACATGGTTCTCAGTTCTTGAGGGATTTCACACGATCATCCAGGTCACAGGTAAGAGGGAAGGGGGCTCGGTGAAGTCACTCAGATGTGGTTCCCATGTCACTGACTCAGGGAGGAGCTGTTCCAGAACCACTGTCTCGGGGTCTTGCTTTCCTCAAGGAAGATTCGGCCTCTTTGAGTGGTTCTCAGATCCGTCCGTTTCCTAGCATGAGCCTGGTGAAGAAAGCATTTGGTGAAGTTCTTCAAAGACGGTTAACCATATCAGAGCAGTGAAGCGGGGCTAAGCGGACGTGGGCAGGGATGGAGAGGAGAACTCAAGGAATTTCAGGTTTTCTGGCACTCAGTGACCTCCGAGTTCTATTATGGGGATTGGGGTGGGGGTGGGAATCATCATGGAAGCAGCTAAGAAGTGCCTGGGTAGCTGCAAGACTTGGGCTTTCAATACTTGAGAAGGTAGGCAAGGGTGGCTGGCTCTGATCTGGCCTGCTCAGGTTCACACCATAGATGGGTACTTGACACTACTTGGAAAAGCCTACTTCCATATTCAGGGTCAGTATAGGGTAGGGATGTGGGCTTCTGGGCTCAGTTTGCCTGCTGACCTCCCTACCCCCCACCCTCCACCCCGGCCAACACACACACTGAAACATCGCATGGTGTATATTTCCCCCCGTGACTGTAAAAACAACTTTTTTTTTGGAGATAGGATCTCATTATGTACCCCAGCCAGCCTTGAATTCACAACCTCGTCTCAGCTTCCTGGGTACTAAGATTAGAGGCATGCCCCCTCATGCCTAGCTTCCACTCCAAGTTCTTTTGGAAAAAGAAATGCTTCTAATTTACTCTTTGGCAATTTCACAGTTTCATGTATATAATGTATTTTGATCACCTTTGCCCCCTCAACCCCCTCCCACTCTCTCTGGATTTCTTCTTCCCAAGTCCCCACCTCCATTCCCCCACCCTCACTTTCACTATAGCTCTTCTCATTTAATGTTGATTTGGGTTGCTGGCATGAGCAGGGTATGGAGTTATACACTAAAGCACAGACCATGTACTAGTGTCTACACCACTGAAGAAAGATGATCTCCTCCCCACCCCCAGCAGCCATTAACTTCCAATAGCTTCTCAGCGAGGGGTGGGGCTTCATCCGTTCCTCTCTGATCCATGCTAGAAGGTTGACAGGCCCAATCTTGTACAGGTCTTGTGCAGATAATTATAGCTGCTGTGAGTTCAGAGGGCCACCATCACAGCACACTCAGAAGGCAGGTTTCACAGCAACTCCTCCCCACCCTCTAGTTTCTACCTCTTCCCTGATGGTCCCTGAGCCTTTGTGGGGAGGAGCTAATAGAAATGTCCCATTTAGTACTGAGTACTCAACAGTCTTAGCACTTTGACAAATTGGGAACTGCTCCACTGAGTGCTTCCTGTTGCAAAAAGAAGGTTTTCTGATCAACATTGAGTAGCACTAATCTATAGATATAAACATAAATATATAGACAGCATTTTGACAGCATGTCCATTTAGCAATACAACAGTAGCAGTGGGACCTATGACCTCTCCAGACACGGGCTTACAGTATAGTATCAGGCACAAATTCCCTCTTTTATAGCAGACTTCAAATCCAACCAGAAAGTGGTTATTTACCTTCACGTTGCTATCGCACCAGTGGGCAGATCTTGCCTAGCAGGTCCATGTTGTTGCATGCATGATTCCTTAATGAGTAAGACCACTGAACCTTCCTCCCCAGGTGGCCTAAATAACACCTTCCAGAACCATGAAAGCTAGTCAACAGAAGGGACATTTCCAGGTCAGTGCAGGCTTGATTTCACTAGGCCTCGCAGCCAAATGTATAATGTCTTCATCAATAGGGCATCCTGTGTATGGGCAGCTAAGAGCAATGCCATTAGCCTGTATTGTTCAGGTGTCTCATAGGGAAACATCCCATGCCCAGCACTGGGATTTTCATTTAATAATTTATGGCTTCTGGGAAGTACTCTCTACCCATGCAGGACACCTCCATTCAAACGCCTTTCTTATTTAGAATTTTTAATTAGCTTACAAAGAAGTTTGTTTCCATAAGACTTTCTCATACATCCCTAATTTTGATTTACCCTCCCTCTTCCCCATCATCATTTAAATCTTTCCACTCCCAATATCCCCCTTCTACTTTCCTGTTACCTGAGTTCTACCATCCCGTCTCCCCACTTAAGGCTCCTCTCCCCCTCATGGGCCCTTTCTAGTCTGCTGACCTCCACAGACACTCCAAATTAAACAAACAAATCTAAAACTGACAGAGAATATATGGTGTTTGTATTTGGGGACTGAGTTATATCATTCAGGATTTTGTTTTCCTATCAGCTGAATAAAATCCCATTGTGAATATGCACCACATTTTCACTATCCACTCACCAGCTGATGGACATCTAGGCTGAATCCATTTACTTTGCTGTGATTAGAACAGCAATGAACATGAATATGCGCCCCCACCACCACCGCAGCCTCTCTGAGACTGTCTCTGACCTAGGCTGACCTCAGACTCTGTATATAACTAACCACCCCCCAAATGCTGGAAATACAGCCATACACCACTACACCTGTTGTGCCCACGTCTCAAACCCCACCCCCCAGCTGATATCAGATGCAAACACACTGGGGTTTATTGATAACAAGCCCGGGCTTGGTCCGTGTCCAACACTCCGACACAGTGGATGGAGGACAGCCCTGAGCTCTCAGAGTGAGGGGTTTTTAAAGAGAAAAACTGCAAGCAAGGTGGTACAAGCCTTTGCTTCATAGGATTGGGTGAGGGTATGTAATCTTTGAATTCACCGGTTGGGGTACAGAGGGATTTTCAACAACAACGGTTATCAGAAGGACATTTGGAACCCACAGATGTTGTCCAAGGACATCTGGGACCAGCAGATGTTGTTTATCAAAGTTACTCATAGGCCAGCCCACCCTGGTGGGGTCGCCTCGACCAGGGCCCTGACTGTTTATGATTTCTCTTGGTGCTGTTTTGAGGTTTTTACTGGAACTAGGTTTAGCTTCTGACCAAGTGCTGTTTGAAATGGAGTCTTTCTGTAAAGTGGAGTCTGTCTTGCTCTCTCAAACCCAGTCTACATGGTGCTGGGATCCAAGCCAGAGCTGGGATCCAACAGAGATATAACCCCAACCTTGTCTGCCACTTTCTGTGTCCTAAGGCAAAGAACTTAATCTCTCAAAACCTGCTTCTTTACCTGAAAAATGAAACTAGTAATATTTCCTATTCGGTCTTCCTCAGAAAGTAATCTATGCCCTTCAGTTGAATCTTGGAGCACTCTTCCTGCTGGACTTCTGGCATCAACTTCAGAAAGGCTCCGAGAGCTAGTAGATCCTGTACACTCAGAATTCCCCGGGTACTGAGCTATTCTGTGTAATCCACTTCCAAGGGGCCCCTGTGCTCGGTAGTGTATGGCAGTAGACACTCGCTCTTTTCTCTAAGCTGCTAATAAAATGATGAAGCAAAATAACCATTTGATAATTTATATAAGGAGAAGAGATTATATTTTCAGTTTCTCATTCTGCTCCACCTAGGTTTTGCATAAATATTTATACGCTTAAATCAAGGTGGCTGTGAGACACTCTGTCTATTTTAAATACTCAGGAGAAGAGAGTCAACATTTACTTTCATTTAGCAAATGTGAAGCAGAACAAAATGCCTTGGACTCAAATCAGTTCGTAGCATGCTGTCCTTTTAAACTAAAATAGCATTTCAATTTCACAAGTTATGGTTGAAGTGAATTGGCGTATGACCCACAGGCAATCGGCCAATTATGCAATTATAAGAAATGTATCGGCTTCATTGGATTTCAATTTTTTGAGGATATCTGAGATACAGCCTTTCACTCCTGAGTCTTTTTTTTATTAGAACTTGTGCATGCTTGCCCCTAACCAACCCCCTTTCTCTCTCTCTCTTACACACACACACACACACACACACACACACACACACACACACACACACACACACAGAGCTTGTATCTTTTCAGATGAGGATGAGGTTGTAACTAAATTACCCTGTTTTTGTTTCAGCTTAAGAATCAGATGAAGGCAGAAGAGTAAATATACTTTTAAATATACTTTTGTATGCTAACTGGAGGGGAAAGGCTATTACATCCCTGAGTGTGACCCCATAAGCTGATGTATCTGAATAGTCTAAGCACTGCTGCTTTGACTTTTGGGTTTTGTTTTTGAGACAGGGTCTCACGTAGCCTCGACTGACCTCAAACTCACTATGGAGCCAGGGATGACCTTGAATTCCTGATCTTCCTGTCTCCACTGTTTACGCGCTGGGATTATAGGAACGCCGATATAATGGTTCAGTATCTAGTTTGAAAGAATGTTCACCCCTTGTACTTTCAATGTCATGGGGGAACTGTATGTCTGTGAAGGTTCATGTTACAGGTTTTTTTGTTTTTTGTTTTGTTTTGTTTGCCTGCCTGCACTGAAGCCTTAGAAACAAGAAAAGCAAAACAATCTTTTCCCTCTTTCTGAGATATTTAAATTTGAGATATACAAGAGAAAAAATTGTGCATAGTTATTGAATTAAGTTCAGAGCTAAGCCCACTCTGGCTTCTTCTTCTTTCAAGTTCAAGGTCTGTTTGGTTAGGTCTAGTTTAGAGGTGAGAGTTAGTAGATATGTAGGAAATATGGGAAATAGGGAATGCCTGTAAGGTACATATCTTCACAATTAACAAGACAGTAAGACCCATAAGGCACAGCATTTTGATCATCAACATCAATCACTAATTAAGAAAACACATTCCAGACTTGCCTATAGGCCAATCTTGTGGATATATTTTCTCAATTGAGAGTCCTTCTTTCCAAATCACTCTAGCTTGTGTCAAGTTGGCATAAACCTAGCAAGCACACAAGTCTTACATTGCACAGATACTAAGAGGTAGAAGCGGGCACGAAATCAGACCAGTTTGATTCTGTTATGCCACACTGCCACTTAACAGTTAAAATGACAGTGAGAAACAAGAGCACCAACAAAATACTTCTCATGAAGTTTTGCCTAGAATCAAGGATGGGTTCAGGTTTTGTGGAGCCTAAGTTAATAGAATTGGGGGAGGGGAGCAAACTTGTGGAAGAGAAAAGTTTAAAAATATCCTATTTTGCAGATCACATTTAAAAAATATGAGAATGTGAACACAGCATGAGGACATGAGGAATAACCAGAGCCTGGCTTAGCATCCTTAAATATCTATAGTGGCAGGAAATAGGGCAGCTGTCCCCACTCAGGCCACAGCGATTTGTCTTGCTCTATTTGACAGCAACCCTGAGGCTCAGTTTCAGCAGTAGTGGCAACTGTACGGAAAGTCATTAGAGAAGACTGATCATGGCAGTCTTCAGCCTGCTTGGGTTTCAGAAGGCAGCGTACCAGGAATCTTGGTCAACTGCAGCAGCAGCACATTCCAGATTTCCAGTGTGGAGGCAGCTCTGTGGAATCCTGTAGCCTTAAGAGGGCACACTATGAGTCGGAGTTTGCCAAGAGCAAAAAAATACTAGAGTAGGACAGACATTTG